ATGTCATACTCCCCTGTCGTTCAGTAAACATACACATTTCCCATCAAAGAGCCCATTGGCATTTTGTAATAGACATTTGTGTTCTACCGATGAGTGAACAACTTCTGCACTTCCAGGAGTAAAATATGAAAACCCATTTGTTTTGCAAAATATTCATAATTTGTTCGCACCCACTGAGACTCTTAAAATTTCTCAGATTACAGGAACTCATCAAGCACAGAGTTCCCATAAAACCTGCTTACAGCAGTCTAAACAGAAGACTAATTACTCTCACAACTGCCACACACATTAATAATTACTTATCGGATCATTAGCCCATTATCAGAGCTGAATAAAGATTTTGATATTACAGATTAAACTTAGTACGAGAAACTCAACTTCTAATGATGACAGGACAGTAGCATGGTCTGTATTGTTGAAGTTACTCCAGTACAGCTGACTTTCCATACGTCTTCCTTCAGCAATAGCATGCATGATTCTGCTCCATGACTGCTTTGCATACATGACTGATGTTTAGCTGACTATCCTTGAGTGATTCATGAATACAAAACCTCTTCCAAACAGCTTTTTTTAACTTGGCAAGTTGTGCTCGCCCACAGGTGTCCAACTTTACTGTGGGCCTCAGAGAGGGTAAATTGGGATTTGTTTTATACCATTATACAAAAAAAGTCCAAAGGCGCTATGAATATCTACTTTCGAGTCTTGACAACCTGTCAAATGCTTTGCTTCTTGCTTTCACTGTAATTTTATGCATTTCAAAAGAAGCATCACTTAAATGCATTTCACTTGCGAAGGAAAGGATCAATCTTTTTTATCTTGTTCTGGAAGCTAGATTAAAACTGCTTCAACTAGGTCAGTGGTACAGTTGTTTCATTTTCAGCAGCAGCAATTCTAACCCGGCTACAGCCTCATGTTAAGCTGCCCTCTACAATACCATCAAAGCTAATAAAAAACCTTTAGCAAGGTCTTGGATGTGTAACAAGGAAACTCTTGATGCACCAAAGTAATTTTATATAGGTAAGAGGGGACCAGAAAGAAGACGCTTGAACAGAAGTCTACAAATACAACACAGAGCAATAGCAGCATCTTCTGGTAGGATGTACCTACTAGCTACAAAACAGCTCTGAGAGAAATTGACATACAATAAAAAGAATTACACCTTCAGGGACTAAATGCAAATATTGAAGCATTCAATCATCAGTCAAAATGCAACAGGAGATCTTTAGCTACATCTTCATAATTATTGTCCCAGAGGAAAGAAAAATTAGATCCTTTTAACGTCTGAAATGTTTCTCCTCTGAGATCTCAAGAAAATTATGCATTGTGACTTTTCTCCTTCACTAGAGACTGGTGCTCCCATATTTTTCTCATCTTAAGTCCATTAAAGATCTCTACAAAATCACATACTGTGCTCAGATGTTACATTTTTTAAACAAGTAGGTATTTATATTCTAAAACTTGTAAAAAGGGAAAGAAAGAACAAAAAAAACAGTTTGTATAATGAAGTCTTGAAAGAGATTACAGCAAAGCAATGATGATATCTCCCATGTTTCTCATTTTTTACACTTTTCTGCTGAGAACTTTCTCATGAAATGTGTGTCTACTTTTATTTCTCCTGGAGAATTTTAGAAGAAACAGTCAAGACACTGTTGAAACTAAAATGAGTGATATCCGAGAATCACCTCTGAGTCTTCCGAGTTTAGGAAAAGCTACCTCTTAGCAATAAATATTTACTCTGCCATGTTTGTGGGAAAGATGTAGAGAAAATATGTCAGCAATAAATAGAATATAAGAGTTATAAGAGAATATAAGAGATCAAATATCACAGACCACAGGAATATAATACCTTAACTAACTTAAGAATTCACAAAATGACTAACAGGATGGAATTAAAGACATAAAGTTGGCCACTGCTCAGTAAGAGATCATGTGGGTATCAGAAGATCATTTTCAAATGTCTTTAATTGTATTTGGTAATTCTGTGCTGATTTTGTCACAATGACAACCACCATAACTTGTCACATCTCATGCATCCAACTGGCAGAGGGAGCCCTCTCAGGAATAGTGACTGAACCCGTCTCTACACTTCCTGTTTACAGCATATTTAAACCAGTGGCCTGTAGCACGGAGCGAGATGAACAAACTCAGAGTTGCAGAGTAAGTTTTGAGTTGACAAAACCCGATAAAGCCAACCTGAGGGCTGTATCAAAAAACTAGTTTACCAAATAAGCCAGGCTTATTTCAGTTAGTCTGACTTATTGTCACTTGATTTGGTTCCCGAAAGCAAAAATGCCATAGCTCAATCTCAGTCACTGTGGCAACATATGCTGGGAAACTAACCTGGTCCGGAGCAGGCTAACTGTCAGGCTAAGCTGAGCTCCTCTAACACTGACCAATAGGAACGCATTGATATTACCGATGACTCTCTCACATACAATTAGTTGGATCATTTTCAAATGTCTTTAATTGTATTTGGTAATTCTGTGCTGATTTTGTCACAATGACAACCACCATAACTTGTCACATCTCATGCATCCAACTGGCAGAGGGAGCCCTCTCAGGAATAGTGACTGAACCCGTCTCTACACTTCCTGTTTACAGCATATTTAAACCAGTGGCCTGTAGCACGGAGCGAGATGAACAAACTCAGAGTTGCAGAGTAAGTTTTGAGTTGACAAAACCCGATAAAGCCAACCTGAGGGCTGTATCAAAAAACTAGTTTACCAAATAAGCCAGGCTTATTTCAGTTAGTCTGACTTATTGTCACTTGATTTGGTTCCCGAAAGCAAAAATGCCATAGCTCAATCTCAGTCACTGTGGCAACATATGCTGGGAAACTAACCTGGTCCGGAGCAGGCTAACTGTCAGGCTAAGCTGAGCTCCTCTAACACTGACCAATAGGAACGCATTGATATTACCGATGACTCTCTCACATACAATTAGTTGACTTTATTATTAGTCCAAAAATAAAAGCATACAGAAAATGCAACTCTGCATAAATAAAAAATAGGCTACAACCAACTGTATTTAATCTATTGGGCCCAAAATGTAATGACCTTTTTTTTAAAGATATATGAAAACATTTTAACATAGTTGCTACCTGCACATTCAGTTGATCAGCAGTTTCTAGCCATGCAACCTTTCTCTCGGGTTTTATGACAGCTGTACCTTTTATGGTTATTAGTATAACATTAAAACATTACAATCTAAATTTGCTCTTTAAAGCATTTAAAACACTAAATTAAAAGGTAAAACCACTGAATTAAAAATGAAAATAAATAATAGAAATCAGACTACATTTTACCTGATAAGAGGAACACACATTTAACTCATTTGAGATAGTAGGGCTGAATTAGCCAGCTTACATTTGATTTACAGTTACTGCTATGATAAAAATACACTTATATGTAGGATTAAAATTCTACATGTGTCACATTAAATGTCCAACAACAAATATTTTAGCAGAATGCATATTTTATTCAGAATTATTGTGCTATTATTCTATTGCGTTCCATCTGTTTAGCACGCATGCGCGCAGCAGAATGCGTTCCGAACGTTTTTCAAGCGACAAACGGTATTGCGGTATTTTAGAAATTCATATCATAACAAAAATAAACACCGGTATTCGGTATGAACCGGTATACTGCCCAGCACTATTAGACATGGTGATGAAACCCGCTCAAAACCAACCCATCTTCTAGAGCCCCAAAACTCAAGAGTTTTCTCAAACTAAACGTGAACTTACCTGGGTTATTGTCATTTTCCTTTTGGGTCTTGTCTGTTTTGACTGAAGTTTTGACCACTGCTTTGTAGGGATGTAACGATTCACTCAACTCACGATTCGATTCGATTCACGATTTTGATTTCACGATTCGATTCGATTCACTTTTTTTTTTTTACAAAATGAGGTTTAAGACAAATTATAAATTAAATGTGTCCTTTTATTATTGCTTGGACAAAATGCTGCATGTTTCTTTGTGAAATTGAAATATAACACTATAATAATATACTAATATAGCACTTGCATATTATTGCTCTTTTGTTGGTTTTGATTGCTTCTATTGTCTTCATTTGTAAGTCATTTTGGATAAAAGTGTCTACTAAATGACAAAATTTAAATATAATGTAAATGTAAATAACAAAACAAAATTAAAATTTTAAAACAAACCCCAAATCAAATAAATAAGTAACACAAATAAAATAAATATCTTCATATAAACAAAATGCTTTTTCCATTTAAAATTAGAGGCAACCACTGCCTTTTAATCACGACCCAAACAAAGATGCTGCATACATGCAACATGAGTAGTTTTTAATCTAAATTAGATTGTAACATTTCGAAATTTGAAGCAAAAACAGAATGGTTTGACTTCAGTTTTGTGAAACTATACATAAAAATATCTGCATGAAACCGAAACAGCAGACGAGCTGAATGAGACGCAGATTCACTCTCTGCCAGCAGGTGGCGCTTAAAGCGTTTCCTTGGTTTCCGCTGTAAACAAAGCAGCGCTGCACTTATGAACTTATATGCATTATACAGAGGCAAGATGAAAATAAAAAAAATACCATCTAAACTTTTCTAAAGACAGTAAGTTCCCCTCAGACATGCATTCATATAAACTCCTACCCCTAATTGAATCGCGATTTGTTTAGCATCTCAACCGATTTGAATCGTCACATATTTGAATCGATTTTCAACTGGCTCGCGGTTAATCGTTACATCCCTACTGCTTTTGTTTGATTGCCTTTTGGAGTGTTGTTGTCTTCTGCCTGTATTCTGACCACGTCTGCTTGCCCTAAGATTTGGATTTGTTTACCATTTTGGTACCTTTGTGGTACAAAGGCTAAAAATATCAACTTCACCATGCACACAACCAGTTCACAACAAAGCCATCAGGAATGGCGTCTCACAGCAGACTATGCCCATCAGTCTATAGACTGGCCTATTGCTCACAGAAAACATTTCATTGAACATAATTTCCTTCTCAAAGAATCCCAGGTTTAAAAAAGTACACTTCCATAATGTACTGAAAGTGCTTTATTTTCGCACACTAATTGTGTACTTAATATACTAAAATGATTCTTTAGTACTTCTTAAGAAAAAGTTAAGATTATATAGCTGATTGCAATTTATAGCATATCTTTCATGCATTTGTTTGATGCATAATAAGGTTCTTCACCTTATTTCTTTCAGATTAGCAACAGTTTATCTTTCCAGATAACGTAGCTCTGACATAGCAACACCCAACATAATCACTTGCATTTTATGCATCTTATGCACTTTATTCCTTTTCCATTCATGGTATTCATTTAGTAGTTGTTGATTACTCTTGTCTATCTTTTGTTAATAAAATTAATTTTATTACACTTGTGTCTTCCTTGTGTTGATGATACAGAATGAGGTTCTACAAGTTGGATATCCCACCAATCTGTTTTATGTGATGTACTCTTAACCACACCTTAAGTGACACGTGATCCAAAAATCATAACGTCAAATGTGACGTGAGTACCCATCACTACACTATTTCGCCTCCTTAGGTTGGCGAAAGCTAAATTCACTACATGGTCTTGGATAAAAGCTATTTCTCAGTCTGTTTGTACGAGATTGTATTGTCCGATACCGTCTCCCAAAATGAAGAGGGTTAAACAGAGGATATCCAGGGTGAGTAGCATCTCTTATAATACTTATCGCATTCCTCTGTAGCCTGATGGTGTAGACTTCATCCAGACTTGAAAGCTCACATCGGGTTCAGGCTCCTGGGAAGCTGGAGTAAACTTTGAAGATGGCCCATGCACACAGAACAGCCCTGAGGTGAAAAGTGAAGACGGCCTTCTTGACTAAGGCAGCAGCAGAGAAATTGGGTGGCTCTGTAGCGGGCTCTGTGGCCGAGACAAGGAAAGCAGTTTGCTCAGTGACGGCCTCTATGGCAACCGCAGTGAGAGCGAGCAGCTCTTTGACGGCCTCCATGGCTGAAACAAGGATAGCGGGCTGCTCAATGATGGCCCTCGTGGCAGTAGCAGTGAGAGTAGGTTGTTCTGTGGCAGGCTGTTCTGGAGCTGATGGCTCTGGGGCCTCTGGGACCTTTTGGACTTGGGACCACCAGAGTCGGGTCCTCCAGGACCATCGGACTTGGGACCACCAGAGTTGGGTCCTTCAGGACCACCGGACTTGGTGACCACCAGAGTCGGGTCTTCCAGGACCATTGGACTTGAGACCACCAGAGTCGGGTCCTTCAGGACCACCGGACTTGGGACCACCAGAGTCGGGTCCTCCAGGACCACCAGACTAGGTACCACCAGAGTCAGGTCCTCCAGGACCACCAGACTATGGACCACCGGACTTGTTACCACCACAGAGATTCCAGCTGCTCGCACTGACATCAGCGGTGGGTCCGCCAAACTGGAAGCCAGTCTCAAAAGTCTTGGGCCCACCTTAATGGCTTCATGAGGCACACTCATGACACCCGGAAACACTGACATGGTATCCATGATGGCTGAAGCCTTAGGCATGGCACTCATGATGGCTGGAGACTCTGGACTGGCAGCAATCCTGTGAATAGGCTCTGAACTGGTGGCCATCTTGTGAGTAGGTACCACACTAGGGGGCTCTGGGACCACCAGATTAGAGGAAGCAACTGGAGTCGCGCCACCACCGCGGAAGCTGCAGCAAGGCTAGAGGTGGACTTGTTTCTCCCACTGTGGGCTAGGAACTCCACAAATGCTTCAAAATATAGATGCTCCATAATGAACATCCTCCCAATGATGATGGGCTCATCAAGGGCATAATTGAACAAGTCCTTGAGAGACGCATCATTATAATCTAGCCCCTCCACAGCACTCCTGAACTCCATGACGAATTCCCTCAGGTCAGTCCCCTGTTGATGGAGGGAACTCAATGCTGCTACCTGAAGCATGCGTTGGTAGAGGGGCTGCAGGTAGTCGAGGCTGGAAGCTGGAGTGAGCCCATTCTCTGCTGAGTTCTCAAATGGCTGGTTTGTTCTATCAGGTTTGCGGGTAGAGAGATGAGACGAGGACTCAAATGCAGGAAGTATGGGCTATTTATTAATAAAACAAAACAACAACAAAAACTACCCTGAGGGGGAAAAACAAGCAGGCAGGCAGGCCAGGACAGGGCACAGCTGGACAAAGAGCAACACAGGTACATCCAGCACACGTACATATGAATAGTAACGAACCAGCACAGGACAGCAAACCCTGGGAGACTAAGTAGGGCAGGTAATGAGGGAGACACCGGTGGAACCACTGAAACAATAATGAGGTTGAGCGGGGTGAGACAATAGACAGACTCACACAAAAGACACAGTGTCCTCTGGTGGCCATCTAGTGCACACCAGCTGAAGACTGTGACAGAAAACAGTAATGGGGGACTGCTGGAATCGCTTGTTCTGAGAGATGATTTATTGGGTTTATAAAATATGAGTAGGTGGATTTTTACCATTGTAGGCTGGCTGTTTTCACACGCTGCGGCCACACAACTTCAAGTCTTCAAACATCTTATAAAAGCAATTTTTGGCATAATAGGTCCCCTTTAAAAAAAAAATTTTTCCTGATGTGTTCTGGTGTGCATAAATTTATGAATTATATGGACTCTTTATATAATTTGGTGAATAGCCAGGATCGTGGTCTGGAGCTCCAAGCACAAAGGCATGATTAAACACATGCTATAGATTTCCACATTGGATTTTTATGACCTATAAATCCTGAGGCATTGAAGCCAGTCTGGTCTATAAAACCAAGTGCTATAAAATCTGCTCATCTCAGTGAACTAAAATAAATAAAATTAATTAAATTTTTATGCTTCAGTGAGGGCATCACTACAGGGTTAAAGATCAACAGTGATTTGAACATGTGCCAAACAGGAGTCAACTGCGGCACAAGTGATGATGCGAACCGAATGTGCTGGTTCAAATATACAGTGGACATTTCTACAGGCTTTGACTCAGAACCAGGCAGAACTGAGCTTTTCCTTTCAGCACGCTAGCAGCAAAGCAGTTGAGCTGAAAGTGCCATACGGTTATGCATGCAAAGCCCTTGAGCAAGATGGCAAGACTTGCTGAAATATTTCTCAGTGAGAGCCACATTCAGTTTAATTGCTGAATATGGCACATCAGATAGGGTAAACTGAAGCTCAACTCTATATGCTTGATGCAAGAAAACAATCCTCATTGGTTCTTATGGAAGCTCAGTGCAAAGTGCTAGATGTATTGATCAATGCGCAAACCTTGAATTAAATGTGTTAATATATTTGCATCATATAAAGGGATTGTGTCTCTTCAGAAGACTTGGATTTAAATTGATTACTTTTATAATGTTTTTATATACATTCTGAAGCTTGAACATTTTGGTTGCATGGACTTTCAAACTGATGGACAAAAATGATAAGAGAATATTAAAAATATCTTTATTTGTGTTCCAAAGATGAACATAAGTCTTATAGGTTTGCAATGCTGTGTGGCTGCGGAAGGTCAGCACATAGTAGACACGTCAGTGCTGGAAGCTTCTTCAGCATTCTGATCCTCTTATTCAGTGCCTCTCAAATCTGCCCTGGGGACCCCACACCACTTTTTGGAGTCCCCAGGACAGATTTTAGAAGCACTGCTCTAATTGGGCTCCAATAGAGTTTCCTCAAACTCACTTCACCCAGCACAGGTCCAGTCTGGACCTGTTTCAGACTAAATCTAAAAGGGGTCAGTCAAGACAAAGTACATCAGTGTTAAGAATTAGAACAAGTCTGGTCCCAGAACCTTTTTAAGTTTTAAATGCACACAAACAGACTCTCCCTGTACAGAGATTTTCACCTTAATAAAGAGTGTAATAGATCTAACTTTCCAATGTAAGATTGTTTTCTTCTTTACACCGTCCATCATTATTTAATTCAACAATATTGAATGCAGACAATTAACATACAGTACATGAGCAGGCTGCCCAATGGCTCTCTGATTAAATGTATGCTTTAGGACTGAGGTACTGTAAATCTCCCCCATTCCCATTGGAAGCCGTTCCAATGAGAGACTGCATTCTGATTCTCACAAATAAATACACAAATATAGAACAGGCCTAACAGAGCACTCACGTATTGTGTGCTGGCCTAAAAACCTTCTAATGTGCTGACCACAACATCCAACATGGCCAAATTTCTTGGATTACATGGTGTTTAGCTCACAATGCTTTGCATTAGAGAGATTGAGGCTCTCTGGAAGAGCAGTAGTCTCTGATCCAGGTCCCCAATGGTTCGCTGCGACTTTCCTGTCTGCCTGCAGAGTAAAGCTGGGAGGCATGTCTGAAAGGATTCACCAAAGCAGAAATAAAGACAAAACCATTATGTAGATAGTTTGGTCTAGTTTAGAGAACAAAAATTAAAAAAGGAAGTGCATTAAGAATTTTCACAGGGCACTTTTATTGTTGTTAGCCTTACTTTAAAGGGTTAGTTCACCCAGAAATGAAAATTAGCCCATAAATTACTCACCCTCAAGTCATCATATGTGTACATGACTTTCTTCTTTCAGACGAATCCAGTCGGAGTTGTATAAAAATTGTCTTTGATCTTTCAAGCTGTTTAATGGCACTCAGCGGGTGTTGCATGCATCAGTCCAAAAGAAGTTAAATAAAAAGCGCCCATCCATTAAAAAAAAGTGCCTCACACAGCTCCGGGGGTGAACAAAGGCCTCCTGTAGCGAATTGATGCATTTTTGTAAGAAAAATATCCATATTCAAAACGTAATAATCACTTTAATGTAGCTTGCGCCAACAGTCCTACACGGAAGCAGCTCCGGGCAGATAAGGTATGAGGTCAGCGCTGCGCATGCGCCGGTGAGTCTCGTGAAAACCAATGTTTGTTAACAGGATCAAAAGAAGCAAAGTTTCTTTACTTTAGCAAATGAAAACCAGTCTCCTCTTGGCTTATATCGAAATCCTCCGAAATTCTTCTTTACAAATCCTCGTTTTGTACTTCTAATAAGTGACCGCTGTTTTGTTTTGATCTCTCCGCTGCGCTTCCGCGTTCGTCACTTCTGAGCAGCGCATGCGCAAAGCCGACCTCATACGTCATCCGCCTGGAACTGCTTCCGTGTACAACAGCGAGCACAAGCTACATTAACCCTTTAAGCACTCATGAAAGTACATTATGGACAGGGCTGGAAATTAGTCCAGGGAGTGAATTTTGAGAAGGCACGGCATTCCAGAGAATGGGATTGTATGCACGACTTTGTGAATAATTCTGCTTTGTCGGTACAGCTAACTTATTATCTGTTTAGTAATTACTGTGATTTCGAGGAGGATCTATCGGCTTAATATTTTACTGAACTTAAGACACAGAATAGCTGAAGTTACTGTTTACAAGCTCTTGATGACTGTACCTCTCAATTCTTCAGGCAGAACAAAGCTGTTTTAAGCCCCTCAGGATCCGTGGATTAGCACAAAATCATGATTTTACACAAATTATGGTAATTAATTGCATTTCAGGGCATCTGACAAACCTGAAAGTAAATGGCTGAGTTTACATTTTAAACCACAGCCATGGTGACAAATAGTATTTTTAAATTCTACAAATATTATCAAATAATTGATATATTTTACCAATATTTTTTTAACAAGATGATTTTTTTATTGCACAATATGACATGCATAAACTATATGCAAAACCAGAGTTTGCAGAATTACAAATCAAACAAAAAAGAAGGTACACTGTCCACGTAGGATACTGCTCCCTCTTTTCCTTGCTCAATAAAGCAAAAAGTGTGTGACCCTAAATATACTCAGCTGCCCTATTGAGATATAAGAGAGTTTCTCAATAAATTCTGACCATACCTTAATTGTTCTTGGTTTTGCTCTGTTAATTCTCACTGTTGACTGCAGTATTTTTGAGTTCTAAAAGCCACATTTTGTCTGCCCAAAATGTAGGTTCATACGAAATTTTAAACATTACTTTCTCGGCAGCAGTTAGTACAGTGTGAAAAATCCTACGCTGATTAGCATTCAAATTAAGGTCAGCATCATCGTTCAACAAACAAAGACTGGGCTGTCTAGAAATAACCCTCTCACATAACTCACATCCCAAAATTTGTGAATGATTTGGCAATCGTAGAACAAAGGGAGTAGACAGACATCATTTTGTGGAACACATGTGTAGTAACATGAGCCTGTGGAGAAGTTTATAGTATAAAAGTTGATGGGCAGGGTTTTTAGACATTATAGGTATACTTTCCCATATCCAGTCGCAGTGGAGTGTGCTGGAAGCATGATTGAGTAATCTGTTATAGATAAATGACAAATGATAAATGACTTGAGAGAAATTCACACAGTCCATTGAAGGATGAGAGTCCAGGTTACAGTTCCATGGCACTCTATACTCTATAAATTGCCCTTCTAAACCTTAATTACAAAAAATGGGAATGTCCAGGAAGATTATAACACTCTTTCAAATCCTGAATCTTTTTTCTCATCCTTTCCCACTACACACTGAATTCCAATCATCAAATTCCATTATCGTCATCTTCCTTAATTGCCACATCATCCTGATCCAGTCACAAACCAGTTTATGTTGACCACCATAGACACGAACCGCACACTCGTGTCAGGCTACATCTACATTAATCCACGTACATTTGAAAACAGCGTTTTCGTTTTAAAACGCTCTCCGTCCACACTACTGTTTTCAGGCATTTTACAAAGGTTTCTCATCCACACTGAAATGTCAGAAAACATTAAATTCACTTTATTGCGCATGCATAAAGCCTCAAAAAAACTCACTGAGATGATATAGACGGAGCAGACATGATACGTCTTCATGCAATTCTTCTGGCAGGATCATTTTATTTAGGAAAATATCTCACCATTCACCCACGCGTTCAGGTCGCATTCACTCACGATTGTATGTCTGATCTAAAACTCAACTGCCCACATGTTTTGCCACAAACAGCAATCGCAATAAATGTTCTGTCATCTTTGCAGGATTGTGATATGAAGAGTGTACAAAGTAACAAATCTGTAGCAATAGCATAAAAGTAAATAGCACGTAACAGGCACAGTATAAATGAATATATATAGGCTATATCTATATAATATGTGTCACATGACTAAACATGCATCATCAAAAGCCTCCGTTTTCACAGTCCACACTACAATGCAAAAATGGCGTTTTCAAATGTATCCACTTAGGAGAGCGTTTTCAAAAAGCTCCATTCAAAAGCTTCCATTCCTTGACAAAAACACTGTCTCAGTGCGGATGGAAGGCCAAAAAGAGATGTGTTTTAGAACGAAAACGTATTAGTGCGGACAAGGCCTCAGCCAGCAGATCCTGCGACCACCATTAAAACCATGCCTGCTGATCTTTTTTTTTTTCAAGAAGCTTAGTGGCTTCAGAAGTAAAATCATGTGATTTTACTTCTGCAATGACCCAAACGCTAACTTACAAAGTGTTAGGAGACCTTAAAATCTGCCTGTCCTGTTATCCTACCCACCCTTGAAGAAACAGCACCCTCATTCTTATCAGTCTTATTACATGGTTATCTGGAATACTTGATTCTAATTGGTCAACTATAGCACTAAGAGGTCAAATAAGTTTTTTTTTATCCTGGTTTCTGACATACTGTTGCTTATTTCATATCTTTTGTGCATTTCGTATTTCAGCTCCAAACCTAATCAAACACATTTGAACCAGATAATCAAGGTGTTCAGGGTGTGTTGGAGCAGGGTTGGAGATTCCTGCCCTACTGCTTTCTTATGTTGCAACTTATAACCATAATTAGATGAGACAATGGAGACCCTCCTCAAATATTGGATGAGAAAATAGTCCACAGTATGAAAATAAAAGATGAAAGTATTGTGAAATATGAAAAAGTGTATAAATCACTAGTTCTTCTAAAAAGACATTGTCCAACACCAGTGCTTCTTGCCTCCCTTTATTCCATTGAGTTTTAATAGACCCCCTAAGGCGTACCAGGGTTTGGTGGGGGGTAATTGAGAATGAAAGTCACACGAGTGGAGGCAATACATCCATCATGCTATGATTGGCCTATTACTCTGTTCACATGATTCACACGCCCAAGAATCTGTCAGAATGAAAAAAATAAAGATGTTAATATGAAGACAAATGAAAAAGTAAATAAACAGCTCACCCACTTAGATATCACTGCTTTATGTTGCGTCAGAATCAAATCTGAAATGGCTTGAAAAACAACTTGAAATTTGTTACTGTGTTCTTATGATTATTATTTTGCAATAAATGTAAAAATGCATAAAAGGCACTAGCATGATAAGAACTGTGATTGGTTTAAATAAATAGACCATTTCTTGTTGTGAATAATGCCTATTTAACCTTGAAAATGTGTCAACATTAAATATAACAGGAACATGAATTCACATTAGATTAAAAAAAGTGAGGACTTTGCCTACTCGTTTCAGAACACTGCACGCCACTGGAACCTATAGTAACTAACTATAGTATAACTGGCTTTGGAGGACAGTACTAATTTTAATTTACAGAATATAGTGAGCATGAAGCCTTTAACAGATGTTAAAGCAAAAAGTTAATATGTCTCAGAAGAACAAGTACCATAAGAAACACAAAGAGGTGGATCAAAGAGATGTTTTATTTTAGATAAATGTGTAAGCTAGAAAAATTGTTTTCGTAGAAAAATGTTCATAGGAAAATACCTTTTAAATGTTTATTATGATTATTAATAATAAAGTTGATAAATTATTGTATGTAAATGTTATATTGTTGCAGTGTTAGTATAACACAATTTTAACTCAAATCATTATTTCTTGTTAATTTATTTATTTGGTATACATCCATGTAATAAGAAGAGTGATACAAGACCCTTTACGTTGTGATAATGATGGGCTTAATGTACGGTATATCCTATAACATTATGGTCTTCAGTACATCTTTAAAAATCTATTATAAACAGAACACAACTCTTGATGAGAGCAATTCTCAATTATGGTTAAAAATATATATAATGTCTATCAGTAACACACTGCTCACCATAACACTCT